GGTTCGTAGCTGGCATATACGTACCTAATTATCATGGCTTCCAAGTGTTTGCGCACTTCAAATCCAGAAGCTTCATCTTCGAAGAAGGAAAAATTTGATAAAGTCAAATTTATAAGTTTTGAAGCGTCCGAGAGGTATAAGCAATCCGTGGTAACAAAAAAATTGTGTTCCAGAGAGAGGGATTAACTGCCCCAGTACGCTTATGAATGAGCACATCGAGGGCCGAAATTGGCAAGAGTTTGTAAAGCAACCGAAGGCAGCACTAGTTCCAGTAGTTCGAGAATTCTATGCCAATGCGAAGGAACATAGAAACAAGAGAGTATATGTTCGCGGTAAATGGGTGTCCTTCGATAGTGCGACTATCAACAGGTACTATAAACTGCCCGATATAGAGGATGATGAGTACACTCAATATCGACAGGAACCGGACACGGAAGAAATTATTCGGTACTTGACAAGTTCGCGTGTAAGTTGGAAGACATCTACCACAGATGTTATCAACTTCCCTTCATCCGGGCTAGCCCATGAGACAAAGGCATGGCACTATTTTATATCTGCCAAATTACTTCTGAGCAATAATGTTTCTGAGGTGACAAAGGAGCGTGCGATTTTAAATTATGCTATTTTTATGGACTTTAGCATAGATGTGGGGAAGATCATTGAGAAGTCCATTCTTGATATGATCTAAGGGAAAACAACAGGGGGACTTGGACATCCATCATTGATTTATGATTTGTGTTACCAAGTCGGAATTCCAACGACCCCAGATGAAGAAATTCAGCACCCAAAGGCGGTCATAACTCGGAAGAAAATGGAGGGGTACAAGTCTAATGAGCAAAGACTCACTATAGCTCCAACTGCACCACAATAGGGCCCTAGTTCTTCTGGACGACCGAATAATTCGCCAACGGAACTGAATGAGCTGAGGCATTGCGTAGACCAATTGCAACTCATGGCGCAAGAACAACAACAGTGGCGGGAGAAAGTTGATCAACATTTGGGCCAAATTCAATATAATCAAGATCAAATTGCTGCAAGACAAGATGTGCAGTTTAATTACCTGGCACAGTTTACTACAAGTTTGGGGGAAATGTTTTCCAATTGTGCACTTAACTCGGGACCTGATGGGATTGTCTTTCCTCAACCTCCAACTCTGCCGCCATACACTCCAGCCAGACGCCACCGTCCTCCCCCCGCACGTTCTGCACCTCCTCCTGATGACAATGAAGACCCTGACTGATAACTACTCAGGAAAGTCCTCTAAACTCTCTTGCTTTACTTTTTCATTGAGGACAATGTCAGTTTTAAGTTTGGGGGAGTTAACTATCTTATTTTATGTTATTTTATTCAGTTTATTCAAAAAAAAAAAAAAAACTTGAGCGTTGTTTCGGCTTGTTTCGCCCCGGCCAATGATGAGACAATGCTTGAACTTAACTATGGCTTCTGGGAGACAATGAATAATTTGATTATTTGTGTGCTTGACTTGTTTGTTGGTTTTACTCTACTTATGATTTCCTTACATTGTTGAGCACATAATTAAGAACACTTGACCATGTTGTGAACTTAGAGAAAGTTTATGTGATTTTCATGTTTCTG